GTTTTGCTTGTGCACAAGCTCATCAGACAGAAAAGACCCACAAGCCGAACAAGCAAGACTGACGAGTCTGAGTTGATGCCTTTCTTTTTGAAACAAAATCTTGCGAATAACTTGCATTTTAGTCTTCCTCCCTGAATCCGCGGAAAACAGCAATCACAAAAAGAAAAAAAGGAATTGGGCGTGTTAGCGGGTGGGGAAATACGGACAAGTCTTTCAAACTCCGCCCATCACGATGCCGATTGTTGACAGATGGCAACGGATGGCGTGACTTGCATCAAATGGTTGGTCGCCTCTTTCCTTTTCCCCCCATTTTCTCCACTTGCCTCCCGCCTCAATCCGTGTCTCTGGGGCCCTTTGCCTCGTCTGACCATAGGCCAGTTCTCCAGCTACCCATACAGGTGTCTCGCAAATCCGTCGGCCCTTTCGCCTCATTTTTTCCAAGCTCTCAAGATTTTCCGCCCTATTGCTTCCAATTTCTCAATTGCAGCACGCCTCTCTGATGCCCTCACTCCTCAATGTCGCTGCCCAGCCCGTCGCCGCCGACGTACGCGTGTAGCCGCACTACCTAGGGCTCAGTGCGTCGCGCAGCCTAGTGCCCGCGCCCCTCGACTCGACCGCGAGCGGCGTCACGCCGCCGCGACCACGCGCCACAGACCATCACAATTTCCAATCTGTTTTACCGCGCCTCGCGCCGCCGCATCTACCCCCGGTCGGGTTTGGATCTATTAGTCGCATCCCACACTCCCTACCTACGGCTGCATTCCAGATCACCTGTCGTTATCTCTTCCTTTTTTAAGTTCCTCGCCCCGCCCGGCTCGACCCTTCTTTTTTCGTGCCTTTCCTACTATATTCCACCATCATCCGGGCCTTTTTATGCCCCACATTATTATATGTAGCTCAATATATTGAAATACTGCATATTCCTTGTGCCTCTTGTGGGCTTGTCTAACTTTTCTGGCTTGCGGTGAGTTGCTTGTCAGATTTTTGACATAGCTTGTTGACTTGTCAGCTTGTCGGCTTTTTGGGCTTGCACAAGCTTGTACAAGCGTCTACAAGCGCCGGCAAGTAAGTTGTTAAAAGCCTGATGTGAAGAATCCAAGGAATAGTGATATAAATGAGCCAATTACCCTTTTCAGAAAGAGGGAGAACAAGTTACGTCCTGAAGAACTTGGCAAAACAAGAACAAGAATGTCGCGTGACAGGGACACATTGAGTCGGAGTTTGAATCAGCCTTGTCAGACTCTAACAAGCCAACTCAAGATAAAATCCACACGTAAGCTTGCACGTAAGTATTTTTATAGACATGTCCATGCATGATTCACAGTCTACCAACGAACATGCAGACCATCCGACGATGTCCCCCATGTTCTCTCTATCAATTCTGAAGACCTGCAGCGGGATACGATCTTCGTGTCCCTAAACCTGCACTCGTCGCACTTCATTCTTGGTGAGCCTAGCTGCCGAACTTTCTTTCTCTGAACTCACTATGAACGCGGCAGGAGTGAACCAAAAAATGACGCCAGTGACAAGTGCACTGCTGTACCGCTGGACACGCATCATCCAGATGAACAGAGCGTGATTGCACGGGACAGCCAACGCTGCCGACTGAAGGGCATTACTACCGATGTTGCACTGACAGATGTTCTAATTCTCAATGGTCCCCATGCAGGAACGACTCGGGGAGTTGTGGGTCACCCCTCTTTTCGACAAGACGCAATTCGTCCTGACATCACGCTGCATCTCAACCTCTCATTCCACTTCCGCAGCAACCACTTCGCGGTCGACGTCGATGACGACAACGGCATCGTCGTTCTGCGCGACATCAGTGATATGCGCAAACTACTGCCCAGCCCCCCCCCCCTCCCCCGCCACTCACAGCACAGCGACGAAGCGGACTCATTTCTCCGGCAGCACCTGCGCTACTCGCTGAACTTCATGCTCCTGGGCAGGGACATCAGTATAACTACGGGATCCATCGTATTCGGGATATGATGAACGAGTTGGGTGTGGGTGACGACGAGGACATCGAGATGGCGCCGCTCAGTGACGAGCGGTGGCAGACGGTCCTGGGAGGCGATCCAGGCGGATGTAATGCGGCTGAGGACTGAGCTGAGTATTAGCCGTTCGGATTCTGGATCGGATTCCTTGGAGACTCTGGACTGGGGAGCCGATCCTCGACTCTTTAGTTGAATGACGCACAACACATCCGACCGCTATGTGCATGATATATGTTTTTCTTTGACTTGGTGAGGATAGTAAAAAGTTAATTCATACGAAGTCTCATTCGAAGGTTAGACAATACAGAAAGACATATTTTTTGGTGAATACCATATATATGAAATCCACCCCGCCTAAATCCAAGAGTGGCACGCTGATCTAACGAACAACTTCATTCCCTGGTCCATGAGAACCGACAGGCGATCCGCCAGAACACCGTCAAATTGGCGAGACCGATTCGTGTACTCCCCGGCTTCAAGTCTAAATTCTCGTAGCTGGGAAACACCAGGCCGTATTTCCCACCTCGAAACAAGGGCACCAACGAGCGCCACATCGACTTCAGCGCACCAATTCAATGTATGTGGCAGGCTGAGAATGAGTGTTTCCAGTTGGGGGAGCAAGGTAGGGGAATAATTCAGATTCAGCAAGTCGAAGAAATAGAAGATACCCTTTCCCTCGAACGACAGGTCGAGGGCCTTGAGCATCGGTAAACCCCGTAGTAAGGAAATGCTTGCTCCAAGAACATATTCATGCATGATAATATGCAAATATTCCAGTTGCGGAGACCTTGTGCAGAAGGAATGCAATGATGCAACCTCAGTGGCGTCATTAAGGGTGCAATCTCCACATTCCAGCCGTTGAAGAGTGGGTAGCGTGAGAAGGCTGAGAAGTTGGAGACATTTTGACTCCTCTGGCTGCCGGGGGTCGTACCCGAGTTTAAGGAATTTCAAAGACTTGTGGAATAGGGGAACAGTGGTGGCGATGATATCGCTGTTGGAAATGGCAGTGAATCGACAGGTCTCCAGGCACAAAGCATCTCGTAGAAACTGGACACACTGGTCGGGAGTGACGAATCGAGCCGAGAAGATGACCAGATTTGACTCAAGCCCTGTCAAGGAATAAAGCGGGACGCAGGTAAAATGAGCTTCACGAAGGGCGGGGGCATTGAAGAGACCCCAATGTAGCGACGATGCTGGAGCCGTACCCGGTAAATTGAGTGTGAATGTTTCCAGGAGAAGAAATTTGAGAGTTATCCGGTTTGCCTTTCTACGGAAACGTTGTAGAGCGCACTTCGTCCGGATTTCTATGGAGACATGTCGCCACCGGGAGGAAAGAGCAATGACGGAGTCCAACAATACAGGCGTCCTGTCACTACTCCTCACCTCAGTACACCATCCAAAGATGTCTACATGCTGGGTGTCACAGCAGTGATAGGACTCGAATCGTAGGCTTAAACTGAGTGGCCTGGTACCACCAGCGCGGTGGAGCCATTCTAGAGCTAGCCCTTGGACTGACATGTTTGTGTCACCGACAGCTACTGTCAAGGATGTCCACAGATTCTGGTCATGCCACGCGATGTTGCGCCAGCGATGACAAATGGCTCCAAGAAGCAACGGTGCAATGGATGTATTGGGTTGGCGCGGACCATCAGGCAGACAGTGGACAAAGATTTGGGAGGTGATTTCCACAGAGAGGGTGAGAATGGGATACGTGATCGTGTCGAGGCTGTCCCGAAGCCGCTGTCGCTCCTCTCGTAGGCGTTCTTCTCCCGAAATGCGGGTCACATCCTTCCAATGCGGAATGTCCAAGTCGGCCAGCTGTCCCTCAATTTCAGAGAGACGCGAGCGGAGCTGGGCATTGTTGAGATCCATTTCTTGATGGACTGTGCGGCGCAGCGCAAGACGCCGATTGGACAGGGGTCCGACAAGGTGCTCTGCGCTGTCGTTCCTCTGGGAAATGTACTGGTGAGACTTGATTAAATCAAGACCATAAAGTTCCTTACAATCATACGAGGCTTACGAGTGGCAGCAACTTAGAAAGTTGGGTGACAGAGTGGCTTGAGAGTGGCAAAGAGCAAAATAGGGGACTCGGATGTGATCAAGATGTGATTCACACGTGATATGAGAAGTTCGCGTAGACAAAGACAAATAAAATCACCATGCGATTTTTTCAATTTGGCGCTCTTTGTTTAGCTTGTATGGTTGTGAATAATTAATTTTTCGGTAAGGTCTCAAGTCACCGACTCTCGACAAGATTTTTGACCCGAAAACCGGCGAGACGAACATAATCCAAACCCACTCCTTCGAAGTCCTTTGAATCACGTCAAGTAAAGTTCCGTGCAGGTTTCTTCAAATGGGCTGGTTCAAGTATTAATTTGGACACTCAAAACCGCTTATATCCAAGCATGGGACGCGACGTACTCAATTTCAGGCGACAGACCGAGAGTTCTGCGCAATGACTCCTTACAACAACCAAGTAACGGATATATTGCAAAGGGAACCCGCGATTTGTAGACGATGGCGTGGTTTCGGTAAACAGGAATTGAGCTGTGAAAGACATGGTTAGGGTTCGAAGAGAAGGCAAAAAAAAAAAGTTCAAAGATGATTACAGTAAGGCCGTCGGGAGGAATCGAAACTCCACCTCCTTCTCATGGCAAGCACGGGGTTCAATATTCAATATTGGTACATGAACGTGATCTGCCAGTGGTCGACGACAGGTTTATTTATCTGGATGTGATACAAGCACGATCTTAGAGCTTAATGAGACGGTGCGGAGGGACGAAAAAGATCCTCACTTGTGCAGGATGCAGATGGGGAGAACCCCCCGTTTTCGTCGAGACTCGAGGCTTCAAGAGACAAGAAATACTTTACGAAGGCGACCTCAGGCTGCCACTGGCCTACGACGGCTTGATTAGGGGGCATCTACCTGTCGGGTAAAGCACGGATACAATCAGATATGAATATGCGGGGAAAGGGGTAAAACAATCCTTCATGGCGCCGCAGTGCCGTCAGGAGGATTCGAACCGCCGTATCCGTCTCATTTGCGGGTTACCCATATAATTTCAAAGCAGGTGACCTGCTACTGGTCGATGACGGCTTTATTTCGCTGGGTAGGTATGCACCTTGCGAGCAGAGCGTGGATACAACCAGATGTCTCAATCTCGTATTCCCGATCCAATTTACGGAGGCGAGCTGTCACTGGTCGAAGGACAGCTTGATTTCTCTGGATATGACTGTAGGCAAGATGTTAAAACACCTCTGCTATGCCGTTGGTACGAATTGAACCTCTGCCTCACATGGACCAGAAAGATAGCCACTGTTCCACGACGGCGTGCTTTCCTTGTTTACTATTCCATTTAAGATGCCAAAATTGAATGTTAACCTGTGGAGAGAAAAAGAGATTTGGAGGCTGTCGAGAGGAATCGAACCCTCGCCTCGTATAGTTTGTGTTCCATTTTCTGAGGCAGGTCAAGAATAGCACGTGTAGCGAGTCGGAGTTTGAAACGCCTTACCTGATCCCGATCAGCTTGCACGGGAGACCGTAGGATGAATGCAGGTACCCAGTCCATTCATCGACTGCTTTACTGACCCCAGTCCCAGAATCTCCTGCGCACACTCACTGAGAACAAAGCGCAGGCAATCTACCCGGAGACCGACCTCAAGCTCCTCCTCGCCACCGTCAAGGACGGCCGGGTAAGTGGTGCTCCTGGCTGCATTAATTCCCGGTGCTGAGGGCGGCCAGCGCCAGGCGCACGACTCGAAGCTCACCGACCCGTTCTACGACTCGCTCGAGGGCCTCCTGCTCGACCTGCGCACGACCTCCATCGTAAGTGCCGCACGTCACGCCCCTCAGCCGCCTGTGGCGTGACCGCGTTTTCTCACTCGTGTGCGCCAGGACAACCACGACGCGGAGGCATTCCTCAAGCCCGTATCCAAGGCGGAGGTGCCCGACTACTACGATGGTGCGCGCAGCCTGTCGGAATTATGCGGGGGTACTGAGCCGCACCATTTACCTAATAGTGATCACGAACCCGATGGACCTGCAGACGATGCTGAAGAAGGTGAAGCAGAAGCAGTACAAGTCCAAGCGCGAGTTCAAGGACGACCTCGACCTCATCTGGTCCAACTGCTTCACCTACAACGCCACCGAGGTAACTCCGTCCTCCTCCTCCCATTAATACCATCTAATTGCACCCCCTGCCAGAACCACCCCCTCCGCACATGCGCGAAGCGCCTCAAGGTCAAGGCCGAGCGCCTCCTGCGCAACATCACCGACCGCAAGGAGCGCGCGGACCCGCCCATCCCGACCGCCGCCCTCTCCACCGCGCGCTCCCGCTCCACCACCCTCACACATTCACCCGCCAACTACCTCTCCGCGCCCACCCCCTCCGCCACCGCGAAGCAGACCATCCTCATCAAGCCCCCCGCGCGCAAGCCCACCGCCGTCAAGCGCGATCCCGCTTTAGCCTTTGCCGCTGTCTCTTCTGCGGTGTCCCTGTCGCTATCGGCGCTTGCACCGGCCGGCCCGTTCGCGGAGTCCCCCGCACTGACGCGCACGCCTGAGGGCATGCGTGCGTTCGCGGCGCTCGCACGGGGGCCGGTGCCCGATGCGGGGCGCCTGCGCGCTTATTTGCCTCTGGGAGCCGTGCCGCTGGGGGTGAAGGTGGAAGAAGAGGAGGAGGAGGGCGAGGGGGTTGGTGAGGAGGAGGGGGGCGGGCAGGGGGCGTGGATGGACGGGGATGCGGTGGTGGGAGATAAGAGGAAATGGTTTGTAGTTTCTGGCTTTTCTCGGGTCCCGTTCTGTTTCTCTTTTTCTACATCTATTTCTCTTCCCCTCACCTTCCTCGTCCTACTCTTCTTCCCTATCCTTCCTCTTCCTCTTTTCTTTTCTTTTCGTTTCTTTTCTTCATTTCTGCCCCCAGGGGTGTCCGCAGTCTCGTACCGCACAGCAGAGGCCCTGGCAGCAGGCGCAGCGACCTGCGTGTCGACGACGGGGGACGGCGCGGTCGCGATATCTCCTGCGTCGAGTCCATCGGAGGATCCGCCACGAGGGCGCTTGCGTCCCGTTGTCCCCGCGCATCTGCTCCGCATCGTAGAACCGGCTCCCCTCGCCCTCCCTAACTGTGCTCGCTCCGCTCTCCTCTCCATCTTTCCCTTCCTCCCTCCCCTCCCCTCCCGTCGATTTTCTCTCTTCCCGATCCTCGTGTCCCCTTCCTATTTTTTTTTCCTCCCATTTCTTCTTTCTACTTTCTCGTCTCGTCCTTCTCCTCTCCTCACACCTCACGCTAACCCCCACCAGGCCGCTCTCACCCACCACCGCCCGCCCGCGCAAGCGCCCGCGGCACACCCCCCTCGCGGGCGGCGACCCGCACCTCTGGTGGGCCGCGCTCGCGTCGGACGCGCTGCTCCCGAACGGCCTCCCGGAGATCGCGTACGCCTCGTCCTCGGCTTTGCCTCCACCGTCGTCGTCTCCGCCGTCGCCGTCTTCGCCTTCTGCTGCTCCTCCGATAGATCACAACCCCGCGCTGGGATACCCGCGATCTGCGCTCTCGTCGCCGCGCAAGAGCACCCAGCGAATAGACAGCAAGGGCAAAGCCAAAGACGACGCGCAGGACGCGGGCAAGGACAGAGAGTGGACGCCGCAGCCCCTCCTGCGCCTGATGAATGCGAACATCCACACCATGCGCCGCCTGCGGCACACGCACGCGCGCTTCGCGGCGCTCGGGCTCGGCGCACCCGAGGCGGGCGCGGAGGGCGGCGAAGGGCCTCCACTCGCCTTACCGGGCGTCGGCGCAGGTGTGGGAGGTGTAGGGGTGGGAGCAGGGGAGGCGCCGCTCCCGGAGGACGACGAGCTCTTCGGCGCGGTGCGCGAGGTGGACGAGCGCGCGTGGGGCGAGGAGCTGGGGATCGGTGGGGGTGGGGGGCGGAGGAGGAGGCGGAAGGGGAGGCGGCGCGATGCGCGCGCGGGTAATGTCGGTGTTGGTGTGGTTGGGGGTGCGGGTGCGGGTATGGGAGAGGAGGGGAAGAGAGAGGTGGAAGGCATGGTGGAGGTGGGCGGTGCGAACGCGGACGACTGTATGCAGTGGATGGGTGGGAAGGTACTTGAGCATGCGGGGTTTCAGGGTGCGTTGGGGTTTCTCTTCGTTTTCCTTCCTTTCTTGTCCCTCTCACTTCCCTTCCCTTCCTTCCTCCCCTTCTCTTCCCCGGTTTTATACCCCGTCTCCACACGACCGTCGACACTAACACACCCCCCCCACAGGCACCTCGAAAGCCGCGCTCGATGTGCTCGCGTCCGTAACGTCCGAGTACCTGCTCAACGTCGGCCGCACGATGCGCTACCTGTGCGACAAGTACGCGCGCACGATGACGGCGGAGGTGTGTATTGCGGATTTTCTGTTGTCCTCCATTGCATTCGGCGTCCCTTTTCCTCGTCTGATCCACCCGCTACATGTATATCCTTGATGTCCCATTCGTTCATCTGTTTTTGGGGCGCGTGCAACCCTTTCCTTCCCTTCCCTTGTGCACTTGCGAATTATGTCTTCCACCATGCCACCCTACCCACCCCCAGTCGCACTGGCTACCCCCGCTCCCACTTGTACCCATTCCCACCCTCTTGTGCTCTTTCCACCCAATTACCCTCTGCTCCTTTCAAAAAAGTTCCAACGTCATGCTAACCCAACCTGCACGCAGGAAATCATCCTGCACACGCTCTTCGAGTCGGGCATCTCGCGCGTGCAGGACCTCGAGCGCTACATCTCGGACGACGTCGAGCGGTACGGCGCGCGTCTCGGCGACCTCGAGAAGAAGCTCGCGGTACGTTACTTTCCTTCCTCTCTCCTCTTCCGCTTCTGTTGCCTCCTTCCGTTCTGATTTCGTGTTGTGCAGACGGCAGTGGACGCGCTCTCGGACGAGGGCCTGTTCGAGGACGAGGAGGGCGGGGCGCTGACTATGTGCGTCTTCTCTCTCTTTCTCTCTCTTTTGCTCCCGTTTTCCGAGCCCGAATGCTGATGGTTATTTTGCAGGGGCGACTTCGCCGACGCGCTGGGCGAGGACTACCTCGGGCTGCGCGAGCTGGGTATCGCGGCGGAGTTCGGCATGTCGAGCTTGAGCATCCCGAAGAAGCTGCTGCGGGGGAAGAAGCGGCTGGGCGTGGGGAGCGGGGCGGGGATTGCGTGCGTGTGCTTTCTCGTTGTTCTGCTGTGGATTTCGTCCTTCATAACCTTTATCTCAATTCCGTCCCGTCTCCTCTCTATGTCCTCCGCCTCTTCACCTCCTCGCTTCCGGATCTGTATTTTTCGCAGCAAGACCTTTGTACTGATCATCCACTCGTACAGCGCACCCGCACCCCCGCCCTGCCCTACCCACCACCACCACCTTTCGTGCCCCTCACCCCCGCCAAGGTCGACTCCCAGATCGGCCTCCTGCGGCCGTACTACATGGGGCGCTTCGCAACCCTCGCGGCGGCAGCGGCTACACCTGCCTCCCTCCCGGCCCTCCCTGGTCCGCCCGGCATGCCGCTTTTCCCTGGTCCACCCTTTACGCTGCCTCCTCTCCCGGGTCCGCCAGGCACGTTGCCTCCTCTCCCTGGTCCACCAGGCTCGTTGCCGCCCCTCCCTGGTCCGCCAGGCTCGCTGCCCCTCCCAGGCGCGCCGAACACTCTGCCCGTCGCCATGCCGCCACCGCCCCCACTGCCAGCGCCCTCGGCGCCGGTGTCGCTCGCGAACCTCGAGCTGCCGGACGACGCGCCGCCGCTCGCGCAGACGAAGATGGGCCCGCTCGGGCAGATCCTCATCTCGAAGAGCGGCGCGAAGAAGAAACCCGTCGCGGCCGTCGCGTCGCCCGCGAAGGCGAAGCCAGACGCGGCGGCGGCGGCGGGCGAGGCGAAGAAGAAGAAGAAAGGCGCGACGGGCGTGGGGACGGGGAACGGGCGGAAGAAGAACGCGGGTGGGAACGGGAATGGGAACGGGAGGCCCGGGGACGGGGCGCTCATGCCGCCACCGCCAGTGCCAGCCCCGATTGTTGCTGCGGGAGCGTGAGCGCCGCGTTCCGTGTCCTGCGACTTGGTGGGATGGAGGATATTATGCGCGGTGTTGCGGA